TCTAAAAGAAGAAAACAATACACTGGTGATGGACAATTTAGACTCAGATGTGTTGCCTGGACTTTCCTATGCAGAAAAAATCCAGGCAAGGGCATGATGCAGTACATTGTGTCCCTAATGCAAGTTTGTATCTTTCTAACATGAGATGATTTTACATGGCACAAAGGTCAACATTTTCAGATGTATCTCAGAATATAAAGCTATTAGAGTTTCCATCAAATGTATAATTTCATAGAGAGTGTTTCTTAGGACAAGTTTGGTTTTTAAATAAGTGAAAGTAAAAAATTTAAAATATGAAAATAACAATACAGGTAGTACATAGGAATGGCAACAATTATTAGGTGGTAAGTGAATGAAATAAAATATTCAGGAAATACCAGCAATACCAGTGTCAAGAGTCTGGGGTCCTACGGATCTAGATTCTAAACCTTATCCTGACTAGGGCAGTTAATATTTAGTAGGATGCTACTTGCCTCATGAGTATTCTTGGGCAAGTTTTTCCTTTTCCTGAAGCTACTGACACTTTAGAGTACTCCTTCCAACCGTACTCAGCTACCCACAATAATGATAAAACATTATATACATACTAACATTCAAGAAATGTGGATCTCCTTCCCCTTCCCACGGAAGAGATCTATTCTATTCCCTCTGACAAATGAGATTAAACTTTAGGAGAGAGGAAACTTCTACTCCCCTGGGACTTGGCTGATCTTTCTCCACACCAGGAAGTGCAGAATGCTAAAATGACGCACGGCTAGGGGAGGAGAAAGGAGCTCTGAAAAACCAGGTCTGCACTGAAGAATCCAGATTAGCAACTCTGCGCCGTGCTGTGGCAGAACGGGGACTTTTGGTCCTTTCTCACCTGACCAGTCCCTCACATTGCTCCATATCCTCCTCTCTGATCCCCTCGGCACAGGCTGTTGCCCATCGCAGATGCTAGGTAACGCTTGCCCCTCTCCTGGATCAAATTCTCCATGATCTCTTCGTTTTCCCACAACCCGGATGTAGTTACTTAATCCAATCTTTGCTCCCTGCAAGCAAAAGAGTCAAAAATAACCAAAGTCCCCCAGGAGTCCAAGATCAGTTCCCTCTTCCAGCCCCAAACCTCAGCCCAGGTGCTTACTAGAGACTCAGGTGAGAGACTTTTCTTCTCTGATGGGTTCCTGCTGCCGGTGGGGCTGCCACGACCTTCACCCTCAACATCCTGACTTGTTCGGAGCAGCCCGGAGCTGGGCTCCGAGAGCGCTCGCCTCCAGCAAGGGCCTTTCCAAGCGCCCCAAACGACCTGTCGGCCCAGGAATTCCACGTCCGCCCTGAAGTTTACTAAGCACTCCCCACCACGTCTTGGAGGAGCCGGAAATGGCAGCAAGGGGTCGCCGGCCTCGGGAAGGGGTCCCAGTGGACCTCCGCGAAAAGTCCAGAAGCCACAGGAGCCTGGCCTGCGAGGGCAGACACGACGAGCCGCTGCCCGGGGACCGCTCCCATCCGTGCGGTCCACACCGCAGCCCCTCAGCTCCCCACCCCCATTCGCCGGCCTTGCTCTAACCTTAGCTACTCCTTCGAACCCCGGGCTCTTCTCGGCTCCGCCGCGGCCTCGGAACTGCTCGCGGACGCTGCCCACGACCAGCAGGCCGAGCTTGGGCAGAGAGCAGCGGAGCGGGCACGGACCCGGGTGGAAAGCACACCCAGAACGCTCAGTGGCCTCCCCAGACCCGCCCCCTCCCAGAGGCCTCAGCGGCACCACCGGGTCCTCGCGAGTCCGCGGCTGGAGCGGACTCCCTTTCGCCGCGGGGCGAGGAGGCCGCTAAGGTGAGGGGGAGGCCTTGGGCAGGCTGTCCCCGCGCGGCGTGGGCTGTGCGTGTGGCTTAATTCTGGACGGAATCGCGCTGTCGCCTGACCCGGAAGCTCTCACCGCGGCGGGGGTCCCGGCTAGCTGCAAGCCGGGGTCCGAGAGAGGTGTGGGCCCGTCCTTCTCCCGGCCGTGCACCGGCCTCTGTCCGTTCAGTGCTGCGGTCTTGGCTTTGTCTTTCTTAGATTCCGCACCACCTTACTTCTCGCGCCGGCGTTCGCAGCTGAGAACAACCACGAACTCCTTTGCAAAGATGCTGGCGCCCGCCTTTTAACCTTTATAAACACAGCTATATTCTGAAATGGAAAATAAAGGTAAATATTAAGTATTGAAAAGATATGTCATCGTTAGATCAAAAACAGAAAAGCGATAGTTCCTTTCCAAATACACTCCCATACCCCCTTCTTGAGGAAACACACTAGCCTTTTAGGACAGTCCCTTCCTTGCTTTTCTTTAGTTTTATCACATATGGGAAATTTAATTTACAATAAAGGTGGCATCACATAGCAACAGAGAAAAGATGGTCTTTTCAATGAAGGTTCTGTGACGATAGGGTATCCTTATGAAAAAAATATATGAAATGAGACCTCTTACCTTACTTCCTCACAAAAATCAATTCCAGGAGTATTAAAGTCTTAAATGTGAAAAGCTAAACTAGAAAGCTTTTAGAATATAATACAGGAAACTATTGTTTGGACTTCAAAATAGGCAAAGATTTCTTAAAAATAAAATACAGAATACTAGAAAGGACAGTTGGGGAAGTTAAATGTGACTTGTATATTAAATAATAGTATCTATCAATTATAAGTACCCTGGGTGTGATAATGCTTTTCTGGTTGTGTAGGAAAATGTGCTTGATCTTAGAAATATGAAAGTTGAGGACAATCTTTTTAATCAAGTGAAATGAATAAATACTAAGTATTGAAAACCCAGCATTGCTGGGTTGAGGCTGGAGAAGGTTTCTGCCTCCTCCCCAGTATAATCTTCTGTAGCCAAAATGTAGCTTCCAAAGCCAGGAAAGCCTCTCCTCAACCCTTTCACACATGGACCTGTCTTCAAATGAAGTTTGCAGTGTAGGGTATGCTGCTGGGGGGAGTGAAGCAGGAGAGAGTCCCAGGACAGTAGGATCATGTTCCCCAAAGCTTTCATTCTCAACACTGTGGAGCTCAAATTTTAGAAAGTGATGCCCTTTCCCCAAAAGGCTATATCCTAAGAAGTGTGGGCATGTAAGGCCCATTCCTATACAAAACTCATTGATATAATTCATCCATCTCCAGCGAGATCTGTAACCATGGAAATACTATTAGACACAAATGATCTGCTTGCCTCTTTCCATCTTTCCTTCCTCTTTCAGAGCACAAGATTTGTACCTCCAACATCACACTGATTACAGTCTATCATATAAGAGTCTATATGATAAAAGTGTTTCTCTGTATGATTACTCTCTAGAGCTGCACTGTTGAATGAAGTAACCACTAGCCACATGTGGTGCTCTTGAGCACTGCAAATGTGGCTAGTCCAAAAAGATCTACTCTGTAACTACAAAATACTAGATTTTGAAGACTTAGTACCAAAAAAAAAAATAATAACACATAATTTTATATTGATTACATATTGAAATTATAATATTTTGGATATATTGGGTCAAATGAATATATTTTAAAGTTACTTTTACTTATTTTTATTATATTTATGTAGCTGCCAGAAAATCTTAAATTACCTATTTGGTCACATTTGTGTTGTGGCTCACTTGTATTTCTCTTGGACAGTGCTGCTCTAGGGCATCAGAGCCTAAGGGCAGGGAATTTATTTTGCTCATTTGTGTTTCTCCCAGGTGCTAGAATAGTTATAATTTTTATATGCTCAAGAGAACCCCACTGGCAATATTCTGCATTTGAAAATCTTTTCTTCCACATATTAAGATCAGGCTCTCTTTAACCAAACACCTATTTCTGGTAATTGAAAAGGACATTGCTTGCTTGGAGAGAGCCAGAGAAAATGGCCCTAAGTGAAGAGGTTGAGGAGGGGGAAATAAGCTAAGGATGTCAGACTGCGCTAAGGATGTAAGACAGGCATGGTTCTTCTAAAAACAGTCAGCTTCAGATGTAGGACATCTGAAGCTTTGAATCAATTAGGGTTTATTCATTTATAAGAGATTGGAAACCCAGGTTTCTACAGCTTCAGGTGAGGCTTGACCCAGGGATCAAATAGTGTAACCAGAATTGAGTTTTCTGTCTCCATTTCTTGGGTCTTCTGTGTTTGCTCCATTTCTAAGCAGCCTCCCTCCTTTTCCACTGCCAGTAGCTTCCAGGAATATAGCCTTCCAGATTTGTGTCTAGTGGCAAAAAAAGGAAGTCTATTTCCCTAATACCACAAAGACAAATCTAAAAATTGTCCCCTTAACCCTGATTAATCAAACTGGGGTTATAAGTTTGCCTTAGCCAGAGTCTTCCAGAAAACAGAGCCTAGAGCAAAGATTAGATTTTTTTTCTTTTTCTTTTTGGAAATGCAAACCTACAGTAGCAAGGATAAGAAAAGGAAGTAAAGCAAGCAACAACTTGAAGCAAATTGAAGTCATGCACTATTGTATGACTATTGCTTCATGTTAACCCCATGGTCTTACACACTGATTCCAGAGTAATATTATAACCCCATGTTGTCAGTCTTTGATTTTAAAAATCCTGTAAGATAAGGCCTCTTTATTTAGTAAATTCAGCCAAAAATTCAAGTGTTCATCTGAGAAGGCATAAAGTGTGTATAGTATTCCCTGATGATGTGACACAAATTTAATCTGGGAGGATAAGTAGGAGCTAACTGAACAAAGAAATTAGGCAGAACAAAGAAAAACAGCACAAATGAGGACCAGAAACCATGCAATATATTGAATGGAATATTTACAGGACTATAACATCTTTATGAGTGGAGCAAAGTCTGCTTGAGGGGAAATTTGGGAGCTACTTCCGGAAAAATAGGTAATGCTGTATGCCAAGTGTTCTGTATTAAGAAGAATACAGAAGATGAAGTTTATCTTCAAGTTATGAGAACCCATTGAGGGGTTTTAAGCAATGTGATTCAATTAGATTAAGTTTGATTAAATATGTGTTTTGGAATGATCACTCTAGCAGCAGTGGGGAGGACAGAAAAATGAGTCCAAGTCTGGAGGGGAGGCAGAACTCTGAGCAGGTGATACATTATGGCTGACATGCAAAATCTGGTAGAAAGATTGGACAGGGCAGTGGGCCGCCTGGAGGCAGTATCCCATGCCTCTGACATGCACTGTGGGTCTGGAGACAGTGCTCCGAAAGCAGGAGCCACCCCAGATGTGCAGGTATTTGACTCGCTGCTTGCCGGTCCTGTGGCAGAGTACCTGCAGATCAGTAAAGATTGGGGGAGATGTATAGAAACATGCAGGGATGGTCCACACAGGTCTGAAGTTGGAGCAAGCTCTCTTGGTTACAGCTTCTCAGTGCCAGGAGCCAGCAGGCTTAATAAGCTTTCTGGTTTGTTGGCACCCATCTCAGAGCAGATCCAAGAAGTGGTAACCTTCAGGGAGATCTGAGGCAGCAAGTTGTTCAATCACCTGTCAGCTGTCAGCAAAAGTATCCAGGCCCTGGGTTGAGTGGCTGTGGCTCCCAAGCCTGGTCCCTATGTGAAAGGAATGAATGATGCTGCCATGTTTTATACAAACCTAGTCCTCGAGTACAAAGATGTTGATGAGAAGCATGCAGACTGTGTCAAAGCTTACTTGAGTATATGCACAGAGCTACAGGCTTACATTAAGTTCTGTCCCACTGGACTGGCCTGGACCAAAACGGGGCCTGTGGCAGAACTAAGTGGATTGCCATCTGGCCCTTCTGCTGGATCAGGTCCCCCACCACCGCAACAGACCCTCCCCATAGAAGTCCCCACCATTCAGGCTCAGATGAGTCTGCTTCCCACTCAGCACTGTTTGCACAGATTAATCAGGGGGAGAGCATAACACATGTCCTTAAACATGTATCTGATGACATGAAGACTCACAAGAACCCTGCCCTGAAGGCTCAGAGTGGTCCAGTATGAAGTGGCCCCAAACCATTCTCTGCACCTAAACCAGGAGTCAGCCCATCCACCAAACCAACCACAAAGAAGGAGCCAGCTGTATTTGAACTGGAGGTAAAGAAGTGGAGAGTGGGGGGTACTTGGGTGGCTCAGTCAGTTGAGCGTCTGCCTTCAGCTCAGGTCGTGATCCCAGGGTCATGGGATCGAGTCCCACATCAGGCTCCCTGCTCCGCGGGGAGCCTGCCTCTCCCTCTGCCTGTCTCTGTCTCTCATGAATAAATAAATAAAATCTTTAAAAAAAAAAAGTGGAGAGTGGAAAATCAGGAGAATGTTTCCAGCCTGGTGATTGATGACACAGAGCTGAAACAGGTGGCTTATATATACAAGTGTGTGAATATGACATTGCAAATCAAGGGCAAAATTAACTCCATTACAGTAGATAACTAAGAAACTTGGTCTGGTGTTTGATGACATGGTAGGCATTATGGAGATAATCAATAGTAGGGATGTCAAAGTTCAGGTAATGGGTAAAGTGCCAACCATTTTCATCAACAAAACAGATGGCTGCCACATGCCAAGCAAGAATTCCCTGGATTGCAAGATAGTTACTGCCAAACTTTCTCTTTTAAAAGATTTTATTTATTTGAGAGAGAGAAAGAATGAGAAGGGAATTGGGGGAGGGGGGAGGGAGAGCCAGACTCCCCGCTGAGCAGGGAGCCTGACTCTGGGCTCAATCCCCGGACCCCTGGGATCATGACCTGAGCCGAAGGCAGATGCTTAACTGACTGAGCCACCCAGGCACCCCAGTGCCAAATCTTCTAAGATGAATTTCCTCATTCCTGCAGAAGGCAGTGACTCTAATAAATTCCCAGGCCCTGAGCAGTTCAAGACCCTATGGCATGGGCAGAAGTTGGTCACCCACAGTGATGAAATTGCTGGATAAGCGAAGTGCCACTGGGTCCTTTGCCCTCTCCCTCACACCATGGGATAAATCTGTATCAAGACGGTTCTTTTCTAGATTTCCTCTACCTTTCTGCTCTTAAACTGCTTCTCTGCTGTGAGAAGCACTGCCTTCACTGAAATATACCTAGATTTGGGGCGGGAGAGCAGGTCAGTTGATCTTTTCCCTATCGGCTCAACCACACCGCCAGTCCATTCTTAAGGAACCGCACACTAGGACTGGTGTGTTTAAGCTTTCAGCCTTTGTGGGCTATTTGACCAACAAACAGCCTTTTGGGAAGAATGAAGCAGACCCCAAGGATTAACAGATCAGAATGTTCACACAAGTTCATCTTTTTCTAACAATGAGCATGAAGTTAGCAGAGGCTGGTGTGATTCTAGCTGATTCTTCTAACCAAACTAGTTTTTCACTGACAAGTGAGGCAGGGGTTGCACTGGACCAAAGGCTGAAGCTTGGCCAGCTAGCATTCCAAGCAAAATTGTTTCCCGTAAGTGTTCCTTTTATTGTGCATTCTGTCCTGGGTCTGCTTGAACCTGAGAGTAGGTTCTCCTGTGTGAGCTGCTGCGGCAGTGCCCCGCACCCAGGCCAGTTTAAGGAGTCTTGGCCCCTTTCTTTCACTGGGATCCCTGCCCAGCACCTTCCTATAGAGACGACTTAAACAAGAAAAGAAAAGAAAAACAAGAAAAGGAAAACACCATTCCAAGGAATCTGGAATTCCTTCCTCCTTCCATGCTAGATGCCTGTCCTCCACCTTCACTGCCTCCGCTGCCCCGTCATGCTCAACTGCTTTTGGTTTCTGTCTGGGCACCTGAACAAAGGACGAAAATCTCCACCGTAGCCTGGTTTTAGGTCTTATGTAAGAATCTTGCACAGCACTGCTAAGGTAAATTACAGTTTTTCTCTCTAGGACACTTACCAAAATATGCAACTTTTTTGGTGGGAAGAGATTGTCCTGTGTCTTTGACCCATTTCCCGAGGCCTGTGGAAATAAATCTTTATGTACTTAAAATTATACAGAAAATAGAACCAATTAATAACAAACTTAAAAAAAAAGATGAGTCCAGATTATAGAAAAACCAGTTGGAACCCTATTTAAGCAGTTAGGATGTGCTAACAGCCTAATTAAAGAACTGACAATGGGAATGGAGAGGAAGATAGTGAAGACATCCCAAATGGAGTATATCGGACTTAGTGACTGAGGGAGGTGATAGATGAGAAGCGGAGGAAGTTTAAACTGGAGAATTGGATAGAGGGTGGTACCACTCCCTGGATTGAGGGTACAGATTTCATTGAAAAGATTATGAGTTGAGTTTTGGACATACTTTGAGGTGACTATGGGATATCCAAATGGAGATATTCAGTAGGATGTTGACTATAATGTTCTGGAGTTCAGGAGAGATTCCTAAGGTAGAGATGTAGATTTAAAAAGTGTTGAGATGTTAAAAAATCAGACAAAATGTGTAGCTTGAGAAAAGACCATGCCTAAGGACATAGCCCTGGGGAAGAGCATTTATTTTTTAAAAAGATTTTATTTATTTGACAAAGAGAGACACAGCAAGAGAGGGAACACAAGCAGGGGGAGTGGGAGAGGGAGATGGCTTCCCGCGGAGCAGGAAGCCCGATGCGGGGCTTGATCCCAGGACCCTGGGATCTTGACCTGAGCCTAAGGCAGACGCTTAACGACTGAGCCCCCGAGGCGCCCCGGGAAGAGCATTTATGTGATCAGCAGAGGAAGTGCCTGTAAGATAACCAGAAAGAAGGAACAGGTGGAAATAGGCAAAACCAATGGATAGGCTCTAAAGTTATTAAGACCTCCTGAAGCAATAGCAGATCTAAGAAATAAAACTAAGAATGGCAAAGAACAGCTTTGTGTAGCCATTAAGGGCAGGTGTTTGGAAAGCTAAGCCAAACCTGGAGAAAAAATGCTCGAAAATACAACTCAAGGACATGAATAATTAAGGGGGACTCTGTTTCTTCATCTATAAAGTGAGGTGTTTTTTTTTTTAAGATTTTATTTGTCAGAGAGAGAAAGCACAAGCAGGGGGAGTGGCAGGCAGAGGGAGAAGCAAGGTGTCCGATGAGCAAGGAGCTTAATGCAGCACTCAATCCAAGTACCCGGGGATCATGACCTGAGCCGAAGGCAGACACTTAACTGACTGAGCCACCCAGGTGTCCCTAAAGTGAGTTCTAATTAAGTGAATTCCTAGACCCTGTCCAGTTCTAAAATTCTGATCCTATGAGCTGTTGTCAAAAAGTGAGTTAGGATCTGGAATTCTATGAACAGTAACGCTTTCTGCTCTCTTGCCCCTCCAGACACCCCCCACCCAATTCACACCATCCACATGGTTCCCACAGAAGTTCTCTGCCTACCTAGAGGTGGGCACCTGACCTGGCAGGGCCAATAAGAGATCTTCCCTAGGATTTTAAGATAGGAAGTAAGAAAGAGAAGACAGTATCTTTTTTCTGGGTGATGGAAACAATATATATAAAATCTGGAGCTGATGGTAACTGTGATTTGCTACAAGGTGTTAAAAAAAAAAACATAAAAAACACAGGTGAAAGATGGAGAGAAAGCTGCCTGCGTTTTCTCAAGTGTTTCAGGTGCTAGTTCCAGTCTGCTGTTAGAATGTGTTGCAGCCCATGAATTACAGGATACCCCAATATCCCTCTAATAACACCCCCACTTTGAGACTTAAATTGCCCCCAAATGATTTGTGTTATTTGACCAGAGTCTCAACTAATCTACTGAGCTTAGTCAGAGCCCACACGGGAAAGAGGAAAATGGGAGATGGAACTCTAAAGTAGCACCAGCTACAATGGAGGATCTAGGTGCCAGGCTTTGGTTTATAACTGGAGTAGTGGCTGTGGGATGGAAATCGGGAAATCCATTACCATTTTACAGAATCACTAAAACTGTAATAAATGTTTACCAGATTGAAAAATGAACATGTACAAAACCATGTGGTCCTAGTCTTGGTGCCCAGCTTTCACAACATAAGCAATGTTAATTAATGCTCTCATTCATTCATTAATGCTTATTAGAAAGTCACACCCTACCTCTTTTCTGTCTTCCTCAGAGTGGTCCTCTGTTAACTGTGTTAACTGTAACTTGCTAACATAACCATCCTGTAAAAGGCTGTGTGGTTGATCATCCATGGGACACCCTGCCATCTAAGTACCCTGACTCAATTGTCAGTGTTCCTCCATTCCATCAGACGGGCTGCAGCCAAAATTTTACTTGCTAAGTGTATTGGTCTCCTTAAAGGGACTCTCATTGATCAGGCAGCTCTAGCCTCAGAAGTCAGGGACTGGAGCAGTTGGTGGAGAAAGAGTTTCTCCTTCTCCAGCTGAGATTTTGGTGGGCTTGGCTGCTGTTCAGGAAGATGCAGATTCCTCTCTGGCTCCAGGAATGGCAAGCACCCCTCTTCCTGGGGATGCAGCTCAGCTGGTACCTCTATGCTAAGTTACTGAGACAAACAGTGATGACTGAAAGGGCAGTTGGTCCAGGACATGCTTCAGCATCAGGCAGCTCCTACAGTTCTCTATCTTGCTGATAGGAAAATAAGTTGGTCCAACCTCTCTATGAAGGCCAGTTTGGCAGTATCCATCATAAAAATGCACATTCCCTCTAGTTAAGAGATTCCAGTTCTTGGAATTTACCCTACATATATACTTACATGTGAGAGAAGTTAAAAAAAAATGTTAAGACTATTCATTGCAACAAAAGACTGGAAATCCAAAAGTCCATCCACAGTGAACTAGCTAAACAAAGTACAAACCACAGGATATTATGCAGCTGTAAAAAACAATTAGTAGGCACTTTACGAATATGGAATGATCTTCATGATATATGGTTAAGTAATAAAAGTAATGTGCAGATGTGTTTACAAAGGAGGCTGCCATTTTTGCTTAAAAACTCTGTGTTTGTATTCTCTTGGATACAAACAGAAAAATCTCTGGAAGGGCGCATAAAGTGGTTGCCTCTATAAAAAATTTGGTGGTGGGGGGTAATGTAGGAAAAGGATTTTTCACTTATACAACTATGCCTTTTGAGACTTACACCATTTTTAAGTTTCCCCATTAAAAAAAATAATAATAAAAGTTTACTTAAAAAATAGGGGTGGTGATATTTTTGACAGTTCTTCCCAATTGTTAGTCTATAAATGAGTGAATGCCCACGGAGAATAACTAATCCACCATGAAATCAGAAAGGTAACAATTATGTGTGCACTTTCCATTATGCTGAATTTAATTTGAAGGACCATCCTTTATTCTTGACTGAGTACTTTGTACGGAGGTGTTAGTGGATAGTAGTTATCAATGCACTGTTTATTTACATATTGGGCAAGATTAAAAGCTGGCATCGTGATATCAATTCCTCAAATTTAAAATCCTGGAATTTAAAAACAAATCACTGATCTAGAGCTGGCTTTTGTTCTCGTGTTGAATAATCTACTTTCACATATTATTCTGAAAGGCATTCCTCCTGTGTATCTCATGGTGTCGACTAAGTGACGAATTATAGCTGAAGGCTTTTCCGCATTCATTACATTCATAAGGTTTTTCTCCAGTGTGGTGTCTCTGATGTTTCTTAAAGGATGAATCATGCCGGTAGGCTTTTCCACAGCGGTTGCATTCATATGCTTTCACTCCTGTATGAACAGTTTTATGGTTGCTAAGGTGTATCCTCTGCCTAAAGGCTTTCCCACATTCCTTACATTTGTAGGGTCTCTCCCCAGTATGGATCCTCTGGTGATGTGTTAGATATGCTCTGTGACTAAAGGTTTTACAACACGCAGTGCATGCATAGGGCTTCTCCCCAGTGTGAATTCTTATATGTTCACTAAGGTGTCTAATTTGTCGGAAGGTTTTCCCACATTCATTGCACGTAAAGGGTTTCTCCCCAGAATGAGTTCTCAGATGTTGGATCAAGCTAATGTTCTGGCTGAAAGCTTTCTGACATTTATCGCATACGTAGGGTTTCTCTCCAGTGTGAGTTCTGTGATGCTGATTAAGAGATGAGCGATGTCTGAAGGCTTTGCCACATTCTTCACATTCAAAGGGTTTCTCGCCGGTATGGATCCTCTGGTGTGTAGTCAGGGATGCGCTTTGACTAAAGGCCCTTCCACATTCCTTACACCTGAAAGGCTTTTCACCAGTATGAATTCTCATGTGTTCAGTGAGATGAATGGGTTGTTTGAAGTTTTTTTCACATATATTACATTCATAGGTTTTTGTTCTTATGTAACTTGGATGATTAATCAAGTCTAATTTGTATTTGCTCCTCTTTCTAGATGTATCACATTTATGGTGCCTCTGCTCTATAACAACATTTGAACTGACAATATTTTCCCCAAATTTGTTAGTTTCTTGGCCACTCTTCTTGTGGGTCAGGATGGCTTGTCTTACATCTTTCCCATGGGTTTCCTGGTGCCTTTCTAAGTCACCATCATATTTAGAGACTTTTCTCAGTGTGGAATAAATGACATCATCTCTCAGGAACCCTTCCATCATAATGCCATGATATAACTGTTCCTGTAAAATGTCATTCTTTGCAGTTGATCCATTGGTTTCTGTTTTATTCTTCAAGTCTGAAAGAAATGGAAAAATGCAAATAACTCATATCCATTATGCTTTAAAAAATCAATTACTGTAATGAGTAAGACAAATTTAGATAACTATACATATCTAGAAATTTAGATAACATACATATAAAGTACGAGATTTTGATTAGAGTTGACCCTTGAACAACATGGGGGTTGGGATGCCAACCCCAACACAGTAAAAAATCCATGTATAACTTTTGACTCCCCCCAGAACTTAACTACTAATAGCCTACTGTTGCCTAGAAGCCTTACTGATAAGTCAATTAACACATTTTTTATGTTATATGTATCATATACTAGAGGCTTACAATAAAGAGAAAATGTTAAATTATAAGGAAGAAAAAATACATTTATAGTGCTGTAAAAAATCCACATATAAGTGGACCCATGCAGTGCAAACCAGTGTTGTTCAAGGGTCAACTGCACAATTAAATATGGTTGTGCAACCACGGGGGAGGTAATGGGAAGTTAAGAAACAGTTAAATAAAGAAAATGTGTGATTTTATATAGAGAGTAAAATTTGAGCACTTTAGACCTGTTCTAATACTAAATAATTAAATTTCAGAGCTATGTCTTATGAATATGTTTTTAATTGACAACCACTTTTGGAAAACAATATCAGAAAGATAAAAAGATGTCCTTCTCCCCACACCAGCAGCAGGAGGAGATGCTCGTTCAAAAAATAAGGTCTGAACTAAGAACTTTCATAAAAACATTAAGCTTTTATTGAAACTTATATTAATATTTACATTGTTCTATTTTCTGTGGTTATTAGTCTGTCCCTAGAAAGGAGACTTGTAAGAAACCCAGACTATGTTGCTATTATTGCTATGTTCTATGAAAATATCTTTTACCTTTTTTGAGGGGGAAGGGGAGTGACAGAGGAATAGGGAGAGAGAATCTTAAGATTGCTCCACGCCCAGCAGGGCGCAATCTCACAACACTGAGATCATGACCTAAGCCAAAATCAAGAGTCGAACACTTAACTGACTGAACCACCCAGGTGCCCCAGAAAATATCTTTTATCCTTTAAAATTCTGACTGGCTTTTTTACTTGATAATTTGTTGTACCCATTACCAGTATTTCAACTGACACATCTGTATCCTGAAAGGTATAACTTCCTGTAAGATTTTTTGTTCAGCACAAAAGGATCATTAGTACTTACAAATTCTTAATGAGTAAAGGCAGTAATAGTGTCTATGCTCTGTAGGCTTCTGATTCCAGTCCTGAATATGGGAGGGGGAAGAGAAGAGGACAGGGAAAGAGAGAAGAAGCCACCATCTATGTCCCCTTCCCAATTCAGTATCCAGGCCTGAAGAAGAACCAAACTTTTGAAGAAAAGATTTAACTTTGAATGAAGTTGAGATTTTTTGTTATTGCACTAAACATTTTACTAAAATCAGACTGTTCTTATTATTTAAAGGGACTGACTGGACCATCTAGATGAAAATCATGGTAGCTTTTATTATTTTCATTATTTTAAGTTGAAAAAGAGAAAACCCAAGAGAATATATAAACAAATTATTGGAATTAATGGAGTGAAACAAGGTGGCTAGCTATAAGATCAATATATAAAATCAAATGTGCTATTACACACCAACAACAAACAGAAAACATAATTTAAAAATATATACTACTGGGGCGCCTGGGTGGCTCAGTTGGTTACGCATCTGCCTTCGGCTCAGGTCATGATCCCAGGGTTCTGGGATCAAGCCCCACATCGGGCTCCCTGCTCAGCGGACAGCCTGCTTCTACCTCTCCCTCTGCCTGCCACTTTGCCTACTTGTGCTCTACCTCTCTGTCAAATAAATAAAATCTTAAAAACACACACACACACACACACAGTATCTACAATAGCAAAATATAAGGTCTTCAAGATGAACCTAAAAGGGGATGTAATATGAAGAAGACCTTTATAGGGAAAATTCTGAAACTTTATTTTTAAAAAAGTTAGGAAATACCAATAAATGGAGCAATATACCATGTTTCTGGAATAATAAAACTCAGTATCATAATATTAATTCCCCCCAAAGTTGATCTATAAATCCAATTCTATTCCAATCAAAATACCACCAGAGTATTCGCGCACACGCACATGTGTATATGTGTGTGGGTGTGAAATTTGATGCGCTCATTTGTATGGAAAAAGCAGGAGGCTAAGAATAACCAGGACAATTTTGAAGAACAAAGTGGAAGAACTACCTCTACCAGATATGCACCTCACTATGAAACACAGTAATTAACTTGCCATTAGAGTAGGGCTAGAAATTCCAAGTGAATTAACTCTAAATATGAAAAGCCAAATCTTAAAAATATAAGATAATATATATTACATCAGTTTTTCTATAAATCAAGAAAAAAGATAATAATAGAGCAATTGGCAAAGGATATAAACAATTTACATAAGAGAACTCTGGATGGTCGATAAACATGAAAAGTATGCTCCTCTTGCTAGTAATCAGGAAAATGAAAGAAACAAGATACCAAATTCACCCACAAATTTACAATAATTTTATTTTTTTATTTTCAATTTATTTATTTTTAAAGATTTTATTTCTTTATTTGAGGGGTAGGGACAGAGGGAGAGAAAGAATCTGGAGCAGACTCCACACTGAGCATGGAGCCTAAGATGGGGCTTGATCCCACGACCCTGAGATCCTGACCTGAGTTGAAATAAAGAGTCGGATTCTCAACTGACTGAGCCACCCAGGCGCCCCTACGATAATTTTAAAGTTTGACAAGGCCAAGTGTTGACAAAGATGCTGAGCTCTGGATACTCTTACGGCTTGCTGATGGGAGGACAAATTGGTGCAACCGCTTTGTAGAGCAAGTTGGTAATCTCCAGCAAAATGAAGGTGCATATACACCATGACCCAACAATTTTGCTTCCACCAAACATCTCGAAATACTTGCATATGTACACAGGAAGATACTGCATCTTGGTAACCCCCAACCTTAGAAACAATATAAATGTATATTAATAGGAAAATGGATAAATTGTGGTTTATTAATTCAATGGAAATAAAACAACTAGAACATAGATTTCAACCATGTTGAATGAGAAAAGCAAGTAGAAGTATATACACCATTTATTTAAATAAGAACATGCAAAACAATACTATATATTGTTTCGCGATATACACATGTAATCAAAGTATGAAGACATTGTGAAAATGACAATATTTAAACTCTGAAAAGCTGGTTATTTCAAAAAGTAGGAGGGTAACAGCAGGGCTTCAACTCTTTCTTTTCTTACTCTAGTTGGAAGCTACACAGAAGTTTGTTTTAATGTTCTCTATGCCTTACTGAACACCTAAAATATTTCATAATAAAGCAAAATTTAAGGAGATGGTTAAAGACCATTGAATTTGTGGTAATTTCTCTTGCAAGAATTTTCACATAGTTGTTACAAAAAATACAACAGATACATGAGTTTAAAAGAGACTGAGAATCAAAGCTGAAATTGTAAAATGGAAGTTAGCAAAAAGTGGAAATAGAATGGAAGAGAGAAAATTAAAGATCTGTCAAATGCAGTGAGAGTCCTGAAAAGAGATGTGTTTTCTGTGAGGAGAGACCATGTACAACTGACTGCTTAGAGAAAGGAGCTTTCAATTCGGAGTTCAGCATACTGAAGAAAAGAGGGAAAGTCAAGTTTAACCTTAATGAAGACAAAATTCCTTCCCTCCAACTGTGAAGAGACTTTTGCAAGCTCAGGTGAAGGAAAGGGGTGACGGAGGGAAGGGTTAAGTCAGGTTTAGTGCATGCCCTGTCCAGGGGCTGGGGGGAAGACTTCGGGGACTCTGGCCTACATATTAAAATGTACTACCTGTCTTGGTCTCACCTGAACTGGGATCTCCTGGGCCTTCTTTCTCTGTCATCCATGGTTCTTGTCCTTTCTCCAACTGGGATATCACACTAGGTTTGGAAAGTTGGTATCCTGCTTATAAAGTAAAAAAAAAAAAGCATGAATGGTTACGCTGAGTTCTAAGAACTATCCCCAGAAGAATTTCGTTCTAGTCCTCTGATATTCAGGGTCTCTGAAGATGGAAAGGGGCACCACAGAATGTCTTTCTATTCTAGCTTTACTAAGTAAAGCTGTTCCCCCAAGGAATAAGACATCTCTAATACAAAACCCAAGGTCAAGCTCCAGATAACATTTAATAATTTAGAAATAAGGACTCTCCTATAATGGGCAGGTTTCCTGGATGAATGTTTTGCCATCCTTACCCACTGAGACCAGGTTCCCATAGTTCTCCAGCATCACCTCCCGGTATAGATTCCGGTGAGCAGGGGCCAGCTGCCCCCACTCCTCCTGGGTGAAGTCCACAGATATGTCCTTGAAGGTCAACAGTCCCTAGAATATTGAATATATTACTTTTCAGACAGAGACCACCTCCATCAAGGTCCAAGGAGTTCTGACAGAATTCTAAGTTCTGAGAGATTCTAAACTAGTTTTACTGGGAACCTCCTCTGGATGTGTTTAAAAATCCTTTACAGATTATCATAAATAAATATTTGGAAAAACAGATGGTCATATGTGCCTTAGAAAAAAATTAAGCAGGATAAGGGAAGAACATGGAGAACACAGTGAGGGGAGAGAAGGATCTTTTATGCAGGGTGGTAGGGGAAGGCCTTTCTAAAAAGGTGGTATTTGATCAGAGACATGAATTCAGTGAGGGAGAGCGATGTGGAAATCTGAGGGGAGAGCATTCCAGGCAGGTACAAAGGACCTAAAGCGAGAGCATCTTTGGCTTGTCTGAGGAACAGGAGAATGAACAGCATCACTGGTGAAGGGTGGCAAAGGAAGGAGTAGGAGATGAGATTACAGAGGCTGGGGGTAGGGGCGGAAGGCTTTCAGCACTTATTGTCAAGCAACCAATGCATTCCTGCTGAGCTTAAATTCTGGGGTCCCACTGGAGTTTAATGCAAAGATGAACAAAACTGCCTGGAACTGTGGTCTAACCCCAACCTAGCTCAAATACTCGAAGAGCTAAAAAAGATCAGTGCTCCCGCCCCTCCAGCTATGGTGGCATGGGCTTTTGTGGTTGGGTTAATCAGAAATGAACCGAATCAAATAAAAGCTGTATCTCAGCCAGAGCTCAGCCACGGCTCTAGGGGGAATATGAATAATCAGTCCCTCACCTTAACCACCAGACAGAGGAAAAGGCTTAGTCACCTGGAAATAAACAGAGCTAAACAAACAAACTATATTTCATCCCCCACTGTTCTTTAATACCCAGTATCTGAACTACTATATAAAACTGTTACACATGTAAAAGAGAAGGAAATCCGATCTATAAAGAAGAAAATAAAAATCAATAGAAGCAAACCCATAGGTGACCAAGTCATTGGAATTAGCAAACAAGAAGTTTAAAGCAAGTATTAAAATATATGTTAAAAAATTTACAATAAAGTATGGATAGAGGGGCACCTGGGTGGCTCAGTCGGTTAAGCATCCAACTCTTGATTTCATCTCAGGTCATGAGATCAAGCCCCACGTCAGGCTCTGTGCTGGGCGTGGAGCCTGCTTGAGAGAGTCTCTCTCTCTCTCTCCCTTTCCCTCTGCCCCCTGCTCACTCTCTCATTCAAAAAAAAAAAAAAAAGAAAGAAAGAAAGAAAAGGACAGACTAGGTGAAAACATGGGGTAATTGAGGAAGAGAAAGAATGCTAAAGAACTAAAAGAAAATTCTACAAATGAGAAATACAATACCGAAAAAATCCACTGAACGGACTTAGTGGCAGATTGAACCCTGACAAAGACGAGATCCGTGAAACTTAAGAGAGGTCAATATATATTATTCAAACTGAAGCACCAGGAGGAAAAAAAAAATAACCCAGGATAATACCAAGTGGTTTAATATACATGTATTTAGAATATCAGGAGATAAAAGAATGGGCAGAAAAAAATAAGAAATAAAGGCTGAAAATTTTCCAAATTTGGAAAAAAAAAAATCAAGCCACAGATCCAAGAAGCTCAGCAAATCTCAAAAAGAATAAATTCAAAGAAAATCATCCCTGGGAACATTGTACTAAAACTGCTGAAAAGCAAAGACAAAAGGGAAGATCATGACAGTAGCCAGAAGAAGGTAGGAAAGGAGGAACAGAAACACAAGAAAAGTTGGTATAAACAAACAGAAAGATATGTCACCTAGAGGGAGAGAATAGTAACAGCTGACTTCTCACTCGAAACAGTACAAGCTAAAGCATCGTGGAACACTTTTAAGTGTTTAAAAGAAAAAAGTCACCCTAGAGTTCTATATCCAGCAAAAGATTCTCAAGTCGGAAGACAACAGAAAGACATCTTAAGATCAGCAAAAGCTGTGAGAATCCGTCAGAACAGCCACACTACAAGAAATGCTAAACAACATTCTTCTGGGTGAAGGGAAATGATGCTAGTTAGAAATCTGGAACTGAAAGAAGGAATGAAGAGGGCCTGCATTGGTAATTATGTAGATGGATATGAAGACTTGGGTTTTTTTTTTCCTTTTAATTTTTTTTAAAAGATTTTATCTATTTATTTGAGAGAGAGAGCAAGTATGTGTGGGCATGAGTTGGGGGAGGGGCAGAGGGAAACGGAGAAGCAGATTCCCTGCAGAGCAAGGAGCCCAACATGGGGCTCAATCCCAGGATCCTGGGTCCATGACCTGAGCTGACGGCAAATGCTTAACTGACTGAGCCACCCAGGCACCCCTCCTTTTCTTAATTTCTTAAAAACAATTTACTATTAAAAATAAAAATAAGAGGGGAGTATGCTCTCAATGGGGAGCCTACTTGAGATGCTCTCTCCCCCTCTGCCCCTCCCCCTGCGCACTCACATGTGCACAGTCTCTCTCTCTAAAATAAATAAATACATCTTTTTTAAAAAGAAAAAAATAAAAGTAAGAAAATGTACTGTGGGGCTTATAACATATAAAGTGAAATGTATAACAATATACAAAGAATGGGAAAGAAGAAACGGAAATATGAGGCTTTCATACCATATGTGAAACAGTGTAATATTAATTCAACTGTGATGTTAAAAACCTGTATTGTAATGGCCAGAACAACCACTAAAAGCAAATCAAACAAATATAGCTAAAAGGCCATCAGAGGACATAAAGTGGAATACTAAAAAACTATGCAATCCAAGAGGAAGCAGAAGAGGATCAAAGAAACAAAGATGGGTGAACAGCAAACAAAGAACAAGAATACACACTTAAATCCCACTGTATCAGTGAGTATGGTAACTGTAAATGCACGAAACAAGCAAGACATGGCTATATGTAAGGTCACACTTTAAATATAAAGACACAGATAAGGTTAAAAGCAAAAGAACTGAAAAAGCTATGCCACACAAACTATAACTAAAAGAACACTGGAGGAACTACAGTAAATCAGACAAAGCGGACTTAGGAGAAGGAATATTACTAGCCATAAAGAAGAGACATCTCATAAACTGTCAGTTCATCAAGAAGGCAACAATCCTACGCATTAATGCATCTGATAACAGAACTTAAAATAAAGCAGAGTTGACAGAACTAAAGGGAGATATAGATGAAACCACAATATAGATTTTAACACTCCTTTCTCAGTAATTGATACAAGTGGACAAAAATGTATCAAAGATTCAGATTTGAACAACCTATCAGCCAACATAAACTAACAAGACATTTATAGACCACTATACCTACCAACCGCAGAATATAAATTCTTTTTAAAACTTTTTATTTTGAGATAATTATAGATTCCCATACAGTTGTAAGAAAAAACACAGAGATCCCATGTACTCTCTACCGGGAACAAAGCAAAGTTTTGACTGCAAAGGGGCATGAGGGAATTTTCTGAGATGGTGGAAATGGTCTATATTTGGTTACAGGGTGTATATATATGCCAAAATAGAACTATACACTTTCTTAAGTGTATTTTCCTATATTTAAATTGTACCTCAATTTTTAAAAAATTTAATCTTTTCCTAGCACTAAGAATCCCATCAGTTTTTGATAAATGTCAAGAGGCGAGGAATTCCAGATAGTGGAATGTAGAGATAACTCTTTAAATAATTAGACTATTATAACTTCTTCCTTATTGCTGAGAGTAACTTTGAAATGCATTTCAATCCTAGAAGGAATAAGCATCTGAATCAGCTTAGGAAAGTGGCATTGTAAACAGCTAGAAAAAACTGCCCCGATCACCAAGCAAATAAAGACAAGAGATAAACTCAAATTCTGTACAATCTAACTTCAGAACCCAAGTTCTTTTCACTTAAAACTCTGTGTCATCGAATAACAGCTCATCTTTAATAGTCTTCCTTTCTCACTCATTCTACAATTTTCCTCCTGTTTCTCCTATGCTTCCAGGCAGCAGTGAGGACAGCCCATGAAAACTGCCCATCCCGTCTAATGTGTGTGCTGTGTGGCCAGACCATTTCTTCCCCATTCACTTCTTCAGTTGCAGTTTGACCTCTGCTCCCAATACTATACTAACGGTCACTGCAGGAAGTTCACCAGTGATATGTGTTCAGCACTTAAGAATGTCAGGACCTTCTTCTCCCTTAACAAAATTTGTTCTGAGTATAAAATACTCAAAAAAAAAATTGATGTACATCTTAGACTCCAAGTGGTTATGTGTTTGTTTTTAGGGGCTAGAATTCTATCACTCATTTTGCTTTCTCTACGGAAATCAGCACAGCGTTAAATCTAGATGTTGGTCACAAACAAGAGTTAATAGGAGGGAGGCCACCATGAGTAGGGGAATGGCCACCACTGCAGCCCAGGCTTCTGTATAAGAGCAGCTTGCACTGAGCTCTCTATGTTGAACCTGGTAGCCCCAACACCGCCCCACACTAAAAGAAAAAAAAAAAAAGTTAAAGCCTTAAAAACCAAACAGCATGTCAAGAAAATGAAAGGAAACCAACCCACCTGGGATTCTGCTGCTGGGGACCCAGACGTGACTTCATCCTTCAAACTTTCTTCCTGGGTCTCATCAACATCCTGAGAGAGCCGCACTAAAGAAGAGAAAGAATTATGAGGTTTGCATTTCCCCAAATCTCCCAAACAGAAAAACTGCCTGAAGATCTACTGAACATGGCTTTTCTCTCAAAACATTCAGAGAGGGACACTTAGAGCAACTCAGAGCAGTCGGAGCCTCCTTAATGAGGAGGGTCTGCAGTGCGTTGCTTTGGGCATTAACACTTCCCAATGGTCAACGCTGGTCCAAAAGCACAGATCTAGGCCACTCCTCTGTTCAAAGGTTTCTGACAAGAAAGAAAAATCCAAATGCTTCGGTGCTCTACAACTCGCCTGAAGCATCCTTTCCCAGCATTCGTTTCTGCTATCCACCATCCTTTATCCATCCTACACACACACTGACCACATTCTTAGCCCTCAGTTAGACCATGATATTCCCCATATTCCCCATTTCTGAACCACTCTTCAAGGCACTCATTTCTGTACCCTTTCCCCAAATCTTCTACAAAAAACTTAGACATCTTTCAAGGCCCAATTCAATGCTATCTGCTTTGTGAAAATATGTCCAATAAATACAATCAGAAGAATGTTTCCTGTCTCGTCTTCAAAAAGAAGTTTACCATAGCATTTTCTTAAGCTACCTTCTATTATTTTGATCTGGATATGTGTCTATCTCCATCAATTAATAATAAGCATGGGAGATCATCATTCATTTTTCAATCGGTCAAGATGCTTAGCAAGGTCCCTGCCTGACACAGCTAGAAGAGATAGCAGCTGGACCTGAAGTGTTAAAGGTATGAGCTAAGAGACCTCGTGAGACACACATATTCCTCTGTCTTTTATCTGTCCCGAACAGACCACCAGATAATGTGTAAACCTGGACATGTTTCCCACTGACCGCCTGTAAATTGAGAGTCATCAAGCACGTCATTCCTTCTTCTCCAAAGAAAAGAATGGTTCCTTTTGAAAAACACTGGCTTTGGGCCAAAATGACCAAAACTTATGAAGGAAGACCTTGGGAGGGCTTTAGGGAGTGGAAACCTTTGACCTCACTGTCTGTGAATCCCGTATACTTGGGAGCCACTGGTGGGGAACACTGTTCTGTGCTGTACCTGAGGACTGGAGACAGGAGCAGCATGTGCAGATGGCACAAGGAGTCCATGCTGAGAGCCTAACATTTCCTCTCATCACTAACCCCTTCCCAAAAGCCATAAGCACGAACCCCAAAGACCTGCTTCCCCCCAATTTTCTCCCCAAGAGCCCACATCAGTGAAGTGTGTACCTATCTTTTCACACACAGATTGAGAATTCTTCTTTCCCCATTCCCCTCCATCAGCCTATTCTCACCTTCTCCTTCAAACATCTTAGTCACGTCCTCCCACAGGGGCGCCCCCTCCTTGGCCTTCTTTGGATGGCGCAACTTCACCCAGGTGCTGGCCTCCGTGGGTAGGGTGATCAGGAGCTGCTGAAGCATGACGATGCCCACCCAACTGGGCTTGTCCACTTCTGGTGAGGAAAACTGCCAGAACCTCTACTGAGAGGCTTCACAGGTGTGTCGTCTCCTCTGAGCACAATCTCCTGCCCTCAGGATTTTGGTGTGTCCCTGTGGTACCAGAAGCTGGGGGCTCCTAGAGGTTGATATGACTTTAACTCTGAAAAACTGACTTCTCTCTTAAATTAAGTACTGCCCCTTTAGGAGGCAGCCAGTTGAGTAGGTTTGAGTGCATGCCTCTATATTCTTCTAGAGGAGCAAAAGGCAGAAGAGGGATCCAGAAGCACTCACCACACAGCCAGAACTCCAGAACTTGCAGAAATATATTTTAAACTGCAAAAGATCCAAAAACAAAGATTTGGCATCAATGTGGGAATAAGTATAATCAATGTTCTTGGATGTGGTTGTCTCCCAGTTCCATACGCACATACACAAACAGCCAAAGATATACAGACAAGCATAGACGCTGCCTTGACGTCCCTCCTTGTAAGGTGCAAGCATCTTTTGCCTGGATACAGGCTTTGGAGTTAAGAGGGCAAGCTTTGAAATCAGACAACTTGGGTTAGAATCCTGACACTTGTACTTAAAAGCTCTAAGGCACGGCGCCTGGGTGGCTCAGTTGGTTAAGCATCTGCCTTCCGCTCAGGTCATGATCCCGGAATCCCGGGATCGGATCGAGTCCCACATTGGGCTCCCTGCTGAGCGGGGAGTCTGCTTCTCCCTCTGACCCTCCCCCCTCTCATGCTCTCTCACTCTCTCAAATAAATAAAAATCTTTAAATAAATAAATAAAAGCTCTAAGGCACTTCAACTCTCTGAGCTTCAGTTTCTTCATCTATAAAATGGGGATAAAATTATACTTTATAGGGCTGTAATATTAATTGAAACAATGTCAGGCATACAGAAAACCCTTAATATAACTATAAAGTTTTGTTATAATGCTGCATCACAGCATTAGCTTTTAAGCTACTTTTTTAAAAAAGTAGAGATCTAAATTTAAAGTTCAAGTGTCATAAGTGATGGAATAATCACACAGCTGCATTTTCACATGACCAAACGCGCCAGACACATCCCCACCCACGCACATGCCCAGCAGCTGGCAAGTCCTTTTAACCTGTTAAGATGCCTCCTGATTTCAGAAATGTTAAAACTGGGGGAGGGGTATGTGTTCAGATGGAGGAAATAACACTACTCTGAGTATCATGAGGACTACTGCAGAACTGTTTGTAACAGGAAAATCTGGAAACAACTCAAATCTATCATCTCAACCAACTGCCCCCGCCCCCGCCATCTGAGCAGGTGCCTCCGCAGCGACCAGGTCCAGCACATCTGCGGCCCCGCGCACAGTCCGAGTTCCGTGCAAAGGGAGCTGGCTCAACTTTCTGAAGTTTGTGAGGAAGGGTACGTAGCTTACGGGCTCCCCTCCACCCCGGCCCCGCCAACCCGGCCCCAAGCTGCGCCCGATGCACAGAAAGGAGCTGCATCCTGCAGGCTGGGGCTATTTGGAAATATCCTGCCCCGAATACATAAAAGTAAACGCCTAGTTACCAAAGTGGGGAAACTTTCGACGCATCATTTGGAAGCTGGCCCTCCTCACTGCTCCCAGCCGTGCCTCCCCGGGACAGAGGCTGCAGACCCGCGAAGCCTCACCAGCTCGGCCCTGGACGCTGCGGGGATCAGGGACGCGGCCGCAAAAGCGCTCGCTCCCGAGGCTTTCGGCGCCACAGGGTGTCTCTTCAGAGGACCGGGAGGTAGGAGATTTTGTTCTTCCCCAGCTTTCGTAGACCACATGCCCCCGCTCACCGACGATTCTCCAAAACACGCCCCACGTTCCCGCTTCCTTCGGGAGCCCGCGGGACCTCGGCCTCCGCCCCTGACGCGGGGCTTCTCCCGGCTCCCCGTGGAGCCGGCCTAAGGCCCGCCGCCGCACGGCATCACGCCGCCGCCCTCCCTGGCGGCCTTCCGCGGCCGCGCGCCGGGGAGGGGGTCTCCGCGGGCCGCAGTGGGAGGGCTGCCCCGACCCCGCTTCCCGCAGACGCAGGCGAGGATACACCTCGCGGGCTGTCGCTCTGACGCCGGGCCGGCGCCGGCGGCCGGCTCCGCCCGCCGCCCCGCCTCGTGGGCCGCAGCCCCGGGTCGCCCGGCACCTCCGTCCTCCCGCCGCGCCCCGCCGTCGCCCGTGGCGCCGGTCGCGCCCGCGCCGCCCCGTTCCCGGTTCGGCCACCCCACGCGACCGCGCAGCCAGCCGCCCGGCGCGCGCGTCTTCCGGCGGCTCCGCACGCCCCGCTGCGGGCTCCGCCCACGAGGGGACGCCCCGAGCCCGCCCTCTCCCGGGAAGCCGGCGCGCCCGAAAACCCGGCGCGGGAGCGGCGGAGCGCGCCGAGGGCGCCCAGACCTAGGGGCAGCGGTCAGTCTGCCCGCCGTGGGCGGGGCTAGGCGGCAGCCGGAGGGACCACGTGGCCCGCCAGCTCTTCCGGTGGGGGAATCCCTTCTTTGTCATCCTGTCATTCATTCGTTCAGCAACTGTCTTGAGTGCCTACAATCGGTCCCGCATTGTTACAGGCTCTTGAGCATTATAGCAGTTATCAAAATGGTCCCTGCTCTCTTGGTTCTTAATTCGTGAGGAATTAAATAATGTTAAACAAATTCAACCCAGTACAGTTGAAGATCTAATTGGCTTTATTGATTCATGAATGGGGTAGCATCCCATCTAGCAAGTAGAGGGGAGCGCTAGGGAGTTGTATAAAATAGAAGGTTTTTATAGGAGGGGGGCGAGGAAGTTGCTAGCAAAGGAAAAGAAAGGATTGTTCCAGGTAAGGTCACCTTCTCTTAAGGGTTAGCGCTGGGGGTCTGATTAGGTGGATTACCTCATTTACCTTTGGGGGATGGAGAGGGCCCATGTGACATATTAGCTTAGTGGTGCCAGATCACAAAATTCCTGGTTGACTTGTTAGAGACTGCATTTCTGGGGGTGGCTGGAATTGTAATTAGCTTAGCTATTAAGCCCCAGTTTAATGATTTGGCCTAGGTGGCCCCATTTTGAGCCTGTGGTTTTCTTTTTAAGGATAAAAAATAGAGAAATTAGTAACACCCCAGATGATGGTAAGCGTTATGAGGGAACGGCGTGTGGAAATGGGATAATGAAGACTTTCTCTTTCTGATAATAGTGGGGCTAGGATATTTCTATCAACTCACCTCAGAAAGCAATAAAATTAAAAACTGAAGTCTGGGGGTGCCTGGGGGGCTCAGTCGATGAAGCATCCAAGTCTTGGTTTTGACTCAGGTCATGATCTCAGGGTTGGGAGATCGAGCCCCGCATCAGGCATGGAATCTGCTTGAGACTCTCTCTCTCTCTCATTGTCTCTCTCTCTCTCCCTCTCAGAAAAAAAAGAAAAAAAAGTCTGGAATATATATTTTTAATGTTCTTAAAGGAGTGCATTAGTTTGCTAGGACTGCCACAACAAAATACCACAGACCGGGTGGCTTGAAACAACAGACATTTCTTTTCTCACAGTTCTGGAGGCTAGAAGTCCAGGGTCCAGGTGTCAGCAGAGATAGGGAAACTGAAGGGACTCCATTTTAGAAAGTCTCCGTCTCTGCTGTTTCCTTGCTAGGCCCCATTTACTCGTGTTTTATCTTTCACCTTGCATCTGAGTAAACCAAGGAAGCTCTATGTTCCCACTCCAAAGGGGAAGCAAGAAAGTTAATCATTCCCTGAGTTTTGTCCTAGGCCCCCACATACCTGATAACATCTAAGAAGAACCGGATCCTGAGCTCCAGGACATTAGCTTTGAACAAACCTCTGCCAACACTGTTATTCTATAAATATAGAATAACAGCTATTGTTCACTGACACCTTTAATCAGACCTGGATTCCTAAAGGAACACATATCCTGGACCTCTTTCCAATATAAACACCTAACCCCAAGCAATATAGAGACTCGCTTCTCCTTTTGTGAGTCTCCCAGATACTCTAATATACTCTATCACTTACACTATTCAATATACTCTGCTCTCACTTCCTCCTGGCTTGAGCTTGATTTCTATCCTGTATAAAGCAGAGGACCTTGTGGGCTGGTCCTGCAGGCCCCCCTCTGGGTCCTCAGACCTGGCCTGCCTACGTCAGCAGAGTTGGTTTCTCCTGAGGCTTTACCGCTTGGCTGCAAATGGCTGCCACATTCTGTGCCCTCACATGGTCTTTCCTCTGTGTGCTTGCAGGCCCCTGGTGTCTCTCTGTGTGTCCAAATTTCCTCTTCTTATAAGGACACCGGTCAGGTTGGATTAGAGCATACCCTAATGACTCATTTTCTCTTAGTCACTTCTTTAAAGTGATTAATAAATTTAATCAGTCACATTCTGAGGTACTAGAGGTTAGGGTTTCAACATATGAATTTGGCAAGGGCAGGGGAGGACACATTTCTGCCCATAACAAAGTGTCTAAGAGAGGGCAAAAAAGAGAAAGTCAGGATCCAGGAGGTAATCCAACTTGTAAAAGGCTTTTTTGCCCTTTAATCAATGCTCACCTGAGGAAAGGTGTTAACTACATATGTATATGGAGTGGAGGGCATTTGCAGCTGCATAACTAAAAGCTGAGTGGGGAGAGAAGGGGGGACGTGACTGGTAACGGCCAGTGAAGAAGTGATATGGCACTGGTACAAGTGGGTTGGAAGAATTTTTCAAACTGGGTACTAGAGTGTGTCCACTGGAAAGAAACACATCCAAAAATTTTGTGTGTGTGTGTGTGTGTGTGTGTGTGTGTGTGTGTGGTAAAACACGTAACAGAAAATTTACCATCTTAACCACTTTTAAGTGTACAGTTCCATAGCATTAACTATATTCGCATTGTGAAACAGACCTCCAGAACTTTTTCAGATTTTTGAAAATCTGAAACTCTATACCCATTAAACAAGAACTCCCCCTGTCACCCCCCCTCTAGTCCCTGGGAATGGCCGTTCTACTGTTTCTATGATTTTCACTACTTTTGATACTTTATATAAATGGAATCATATGATGTTGTCTTTTTAAAAGATTTTTTATTTTAGAGAAAGAGAGAGTGTGTGGCGAGTGGAGGGGGGAGGAGCAGAGGGGGAGGGAGAGGGAGAAAAAAATCACAAGCAGACTCCCTGCTGAGCATGGAGCCCAATGCAGGGCTCAATCCCACAACCCCAAGATCATGACCTGAGCCAAAAACAAGAGTCAGATGCTTAACCATCTGAGCCACCCAGGCACCCCACAATGTTGTCTTTTTATTTATTTTTTTAAAGATTTTTATTTATTTATTGAGAGAGAGAATGATAGAGAGCATGAGAGGGTGGAGGCTCCCTCAGCAGGGAGCCTGCTTCGAGACTCGATCCCGGGACTCCAGGATGACGACCTGAGCCGAAGGCATTCGCTTAACCAACTGAGCCACCCAGGCGCCCAACAATGTTGTCTTTTTAATCAACACTTTAACATTGGTATATCTGGGTTCTGTCATGTTTGTATTCTTTATACATCTCCGTAATTTCATAAATGAGCATTTACTTTTTTTATCACAAGCAGAAAAGCCATAAAATGCAATATTAATAGTTTCTGGGTTTGAGTGGTTATGTGTACCTGGCATAATAAACCTGTTGTGTAGCGTCTATTAAAAATGCCTCTTGACAGATGAAAAAATAAGATTAAGTTTGACTAAGATCACAAAGCTAGGGGTGGTAGAGTTGGAATTTGAATACAAATTTTTATGATTCCTAAATGCAAACTCTTTATCACTCTGCTATGAAGGCTTAGGATCTGAGCACAACCTAATATTCAGTGAAAAAAAAATTGCAGTTCCAAAAGCAGCTAAACCATGATCCTAATTATGTAAAAGCACACACAAGACTCAAAGTAACAAAAAGAATCCTCTATGTTATCCCTGTAATGAAGGGGGTGAAACATTATTTTAGCTCTAACAGTAATACTGCTGTGTACTGAATTGTCCAGGTTGGTGCTCCCCCCCCAACCTCCAAACACCACTCACGAGTATTACATTTTCAATATTCTGAGAAAATTAGTGAAACCTGTAACCAAAGCATTAATGGGACTAATTGTAGCTGCAGACTAATAAATGCGACTGCAAATTTTTACCCTTTTTGTTTGCCTTTAAATTTCCCAGACTCTCCTGGGAGAGGCAGATTTGAGATCTGCCCTCCCATCTCCTCATTTTGCCGCCTCTCGAATAACCCCTTTCCTTGCTGCATACTAAATGCCTGATTGTCTTTGCTATCCATTTGGTGGATGAACTTGGGTTAGCTTACAAATTTGGGGAGGAGCTCTTTGTGTATGGTTCATCGACCTCAGCCTGTAACAGGAGTCCAGGGATGAGTCCTAGCCACTGCCTAGGATCTTTCTCTTGGGGACGATCCCCAGCCTCCCCCCCCATTGGGTGCCTCCCACTTAATTTAACTCTTGTGGCAAGAAAACAGCTTTGGGTTTGGTTTAGACAGAGATTTCTGGATGAGTTTCATATGGAGAGCATGTGAGCTTCTTTCTTTCTCCTGTTTGGTTTAGATCTTAGATTTCTTCCTCCCATTCAGATGCCTCCAAATAGGGGGTATTGGTTCTTTTAGCTTCCTTTTCTAAAAAGTTGATGAGGAAGTTGTTTGGTTGAGTCGGGGAAGCCCTGACTTTGGGGAGGAATCAATGCTCACAGAGGTTGGGCTTCATTTGGTTTGTTTGTTGCTGCATCTTCTGGTATCTTTGGATAAAACTGGCTATGTTCTCATTGGGAAATGGGAAATGACT